TGTACTACTATACAATGCTCACATGTAATCTCCAACATAAGGCTTTTAGTGTCTTAAGATATTTTGGGACAACACAGTGAAATTTAAAGTGTTACCTCTCTGTCCTTGCTCTGTGCCCTACTTTCTCGACTCTCTCTATGCTCACGAAGCGCTGCTGTAATGGCCATGAAAACGTCCTCATTGATGTGAGGAAGTTTTGAGTCTTTTTCCTCAGACTTGACTGGGCTTGTTGCTGAAGGAGCAGCGCTAGAAGCGGCGGGGGCGGCGTTTGCATCAGGAGTAGTGACCAAAGTTTGTGGTGGCCCCTCTTCCTTCACTGCTGCTTTCTGGCCTTCCTCACTTGGCTGCGGGACAGCGGTCGATTCTGCGGCCTTCTCTGTTTCCAGTTCGAGGTTAAGTGTGTTCTCACCCGAGTCTTGCAGATGCTGTTTCAGACTCTTCAAACTGAATTTAAAAGCAAAGATGCCAGTAGGTTACTATGAAAAGAAGTTTGTTGTCACAAAATGTTAATGTGAAATAAGAAATTCCATTTCAAATTTCTAATCTAGAGTTGCTTATGTCTAAATTACACTCTTCTCTTTTTGCATCTTTGGGAACTGTTTACTATAGCACAACCTTGAGGAGTGCAGCAGTCATCATGACTGTTTTGACTCTGCCACTAAACCTGAAAATGAAAGATACTCACGACTCAATACGTCCGACTTTACTCCTATGAAGAGGAGAGAAAAAAGCACAAGGTCAGACAAGCATGAGGACACTTTAAAGAAAAAAACACACAATCTAAAATCAATTTCCTCTTTGTCTCACTTCTGATTGTGGGACACACTTACCAAGAAGATAAATAGTCCTTGGTGACATTGCTCTCCATCACCTGTGTTAATCCACCAGGTTCAGCCATCTCAATGCATATCTGAGAAAACAGAAAGATATTACATCAGTGACAGTACAATTGTTTTCTTCCTGAGGATATTTGAGCAACACAGTGGTACTCAAAGGGTGCGCTACAGGCCCAATTTGTGAAAGTAACAGGACAGAGGTCCTGGCGAGTTTCTTTACTGCCCTCTACGATAGTACAAGGCAAAGAAAAAAAATCTTGGTGTTTTAAAACTGCAAATGGAAAATAAGTGCAAACA